TGGGCCAATTCTAATGACCTGGCCAATTCATGAGCTTCATCGAGAGTGAGTTCGTTTTGAGCTAGAAGTCGTTCTCTGATGGTAGTAGACTGAAGTCCGTTGATTAGAGCATCGCGTACACTTTCGTTTTGATGGTCAATGGTGGACACCGCCTTGAAATCACAATTTTTGGCCAAGGATTTAAGCCTCTGAACAAACTGATCAACATCTTGACTGGTGTCTTGTTTGCAAGTTTGTAGAAGATGGCGAGCATAAATTATATTCTTTGGACGAACGTACAACTTTTCAAGTGCACTGATAGCTGATTCGTAATCTGGACAGTCAGCGATATAAACGTATACAGGTGCATCCACAAAATGGATGAGAGTTTCGAGTTTATTTAGATTGGACGACTCGACAGTGACCTGAAACGTTTGGAAGGTTCGGAACCAATGATTCCAACGCGTTGTTGCGTCTGGAGAATTAGGATCTGCGTCGAAACACTTGGGTCGCAGCAACGGTTCCATTGTATCCTTAGACAAGTAAATTGTTGCGAATAGAGTTTCGGTTCTGATTGAGCGCGAGAACAAGAATGAATAGCGTAGAATTAATAGCGCTTTACTTGTCTAAGAATAGACGTACATAAGCTGAAAATGAAGGCAAAAGCGTGGTTAATACAACACGATAATGTGAGCACAAAGAATATTCATGACAGGGTGTCACAGCTGAGCGTTTTTTTTTCGTGCAGCGAACTGAGGCTTCTTATGGTCTTCTCCAGCCGTTATCTCAGAGCCGTACCTGGTGTTGGTGAATCCGCAACGAGGCGATTGGAAAACGAGTACTCGGTCTGAACAAGAGGAGTTTCCGTCGAAGAATGTATTCAGCACAAGAAGCTACGTTGGTTGGTCCATGTATTGCATACTCCGAACCATCGTTTGCTGAAAACAATACTGTTTTCCGTGCCCAATTCAGAGTGGTAGAAGCAGAGAAATGGCCAATCCGTGATTTGGTAGATGGGTGTGAAAGATTGCGAAAAGTTTGGGTGCTGTCGGTGCTACTCGCCTTCTAGAGTGGGGAATGGGTAATCCCTATGGGGCCCGTTTGATGGGGACGCAAGATATTGCTGTTGATCGATGCCAGTGGCATTNCCTGCTGTCGTTTCTATTCAGATTGTTTGAATGTGTGTTTGGAGGTATGTGTACCTCGGAATGGTTGTAGTAGGTTAACATTAGGTTTGTTTTCCATCAACTCTTATTATTTCACTTCACTATAGTGCCTTCAAGGAAATTATGGTTGTGCGGCAGTGAAGCATCAATATGGAACACTGATGTGTTCTCCTTGATGATGAGGTTATGAACAGCAGTCTGTCGGGGCGATGCTGAGAGGCGAAATGTGGATCATCTGAGCGCGTCCTAAGCAGTTTGCGGTGCACGACCAAACGGGGGTCTTGCATGCGTCTTCCAGAGATAACATACATCGACAGAGATGGAAAGCAAGATTTCAACAAGAAATGACTTCTTCCCAGTGTGAGCGAATGTTATGGACATTTAAGGCTACAATGTGGATCAGATTTCCGGAGCTCAGTATGGAATTATTTGGGTTTATTTTGCTGGATGATGGTTCAGCCAAGGTAAACGACTAAGAGTCTGACGGTTGCGTTGGACGCACTACACCGTTTGATGGTTGGGAATGGTTGAGGGTTGAGGGCTAGTGAATGATGAGCTCTAAGAATGAGTGGTACTTACCCAGGCCACAAAAGTTTGTTTGAGTCACTCCACTTTGAGCCATTGGCTCAAAAGCCTAATCCACAATGTAGTGGAAGAAGGTTGGGCTTTATTCTGTGACCCCTCTTATGTTCTCCGACTCAAAGGTTTGAGACTCGGGAGAGCTGTTGTTAGGGTTTTCATAAGGAACCCTTCCCGGAGGCAATGGCCCATTAGTTTTTCATCCACTTGGCGATATGAGCCTGGCCTGGCCTGGCCCGAGTCCGTAGTAAGGCATAATTGTCTGACTCCTAATGGAGCTATCCGCATAAGAGAGCTGTTGGTTTTCATAAGGAACCCTTCCCGGAGGCAATGGCCCATTAGTTTTTCATCCACTTGGCGATATGAGCCTGGCCTGGCCTGGCCCGAGTCCGTAGTAAGGCATAATTGTCTGACTCCTAATGGAGCTATCCGCATAAGTTAGCAGCATCATACCTTAGCTTTAAAAGTATTTCAACGGTATTGTGCAGGTTATCGCGGGCAACCTTTGGGCGACCAGAGTGTGCGTTGTTTAGCGCCGATCTTTTCTAAACCATCCTACATCGCGGAAAGGCAACATCGCTGACCCCGTGTTGGTCATCTGAAAGAAACACTTTCCTGCCTTCACGCTCTTATCCCAGAGGACAGCGAGACTTCACCTCCTGGCTGCCTCGCAATACCATTTCAAGCTGTTCTTCATTGGGCGTTGACCTTCCGCTTGTAATTTAATCTTGAGGGACTGATTCCTAGCCATTTTGACTTTGAAGCCCAACCGCCACGATAGCGTTAAGTTTGGTTTATTTCTAATAACAATACTAGTAATCATTCAGCTGTAACACACTTTCGTCGCCAAATCGCGTGCCACCCGAAGGAAGGACAAGGACCGGAATACTACCAGGTTGGCCAAACTGTGGTTGGGTTCGAGCCACATACATTGCGGTCAGTACCTTTGCACCACATCCACTGAGCTGTCTCGAACCCGTTCTCTCCCAAGGATTTGGTTCAAAAACGCTATGCAGTGTTGTGAGAGGTTACAAAGGACATCGTTTTAACGTGCATATTTCCTAGTGACCCTCTGTAAAGGTGAATAATCAAGGATAGTGGTTACCCCACCCCAAACAAGAATTGACCGTGTTTGTTCAGTGCCATGTATGAAATCTGACGACAACCGCAGTTTGTCAGTAGATCTGTACTTTTCCACAGGTTCACTAGTTCGACTTGAAGCTGATGCTAACGGCTATGAAAAAGGTGAATGTAAAGATTAGGTGGACTAACCTGACCGGGACTTTACCACGGGAGCCAGTATCACTCAATACGTGTGGGTTTTCGTGCCTGTGTGGAACAATAAAACGACTTTAGGGACGTTCGAAGTTGGCCGAACAATAAAGCAAACCATCCTGAATACCGTTGTTTGGAGGCCAGTCGACCCTATCAACCGAACGTCACGTCATTTGGACAGATGTGTCAAGTGCGGGCTACACTAACCGAAGTTATGCCCTGATTGGTCAGAATGTCAGCCAATCTAGACCGAGCATCTTTAGCTCGACGCTTCCTGTCATCTCTGGAGATTCTAGCACAACCTTGTGCTATGCGATGACCCTATAGATACAGTTGTAATAGTCTTCCTCCGTCTGCATAAAGGGCTCTCTGAAGCTGTCGTGCCTTTGAGTATACCGTGATGGAGCAGGAAGTCGAGGACCGACACAGAGTTGCACAACCGTTCAGCAAGACGCAACAACCTTGTTGAGTCCTCTCAGTTGAGAACTCTCAGCAGTCAAAAGGAGTTTATCCATCTAAAGAGGACAATTTCGGCCAGTTCCCGGGATTCAGTATGACAATATTACCACACACCACGAAAGTTTTCACAGAGGAAAAACAAAACGTTGCACAAGGAGTCGACCTTGGAAGGTTAATGAACCAGGAGTAGTGCAATCTCATTTTTAAGGGACATGCGTGAACACCTGGGTGACAGCTGATGAAAAATAGTTGCGTGCAAACGGAAAATGATTTCTTGAAGGGTTTGTACCAAGTTAGTTCGGGAACTTGATGTGGATTACAACTTAGCTCTTCGTGAAAATCTCCCCAACTCAAACTAGAAGTCGACAGGAAGCCAAAGGTGACAAAGAACCTCGTAACAACGCAACTTTGCAGATCAAACTGTCAGAAATTAAGAACCGGTCTCACTCCCGGGCGGGAAATGAGGACTTATTTCTGGTCTTTATTTGAGACTGCCAGTGGGTTTACCCATTCTTGCCATATGTTCTCCATTCTACCTGCCACTGGGGCGCTTGCCACCAGTCCACTCTAATTCTGAACCATCCTTAAGGTTGTAAATGAATAGGAAAGGTCATCAGAGAGTTCACTTCAAGCTGGGTTGACAGCTGACCTGTTCATGCATTCTGGAAGTCGTCACCATACTGGTAGTTCTCGTTATTGCCTTGCTGGGTCCGGACTTCCTCCAAGTCTACTTGTGCTTATGTATTCCCCAAAGACTACCTGATCCCTTCAACATGACTGATTGCATGTCACTTGATTGGTTCATTTGGAATTTGTGTTCCGTTGCTGTTTTGATTCATTGTAAGTCGAGTTACTTTGGTCTCAGGCTTTGATGTCACTGTGGTATTGTGGAAGCACTACCTCTATCTCCAATTCGAAATGTCTTGCCGTCAATAGGTGGCATCCAGTTTGACCCATCGGCAATTTATTTGCATCGAGTAGAGAATGCAGTGTCTTGATGGATAAATTCAACCGGTCAGTAATGATTTATTTCAAATGATGTTCAGTGAGTTTATCACTTTTCTTTTCAGCCTGCTCTACCACCAGCCGTTAGCTGACTCATTCAAGGACTCGGAGGTTTTGGTATATAGTCTATGGCACCAAGGTCCTCCGTTGGCGGAGAGGCATCTGATGGTCGAAGACATTCGTAAGTCGTTTTCGATGGCTGGACAAAGGGTAACATTTTACGCAGAGAAAATGTCGACTTTTACGCTGTGTTGGAAGTGGAGAAGGAGGCCACACCTGCTGATATCAAACGTGCCTATCGGAGGGTAACCAAGTTCTCACATAAACAGGTTCATTTTTCCACAGCTCGCCCTTCGGTTCCATCCAGATAAAAATCCCGACGACCCGAATGCCAGCGAGAAAGTAAGACGATTCTACTTTTTTCTTCCATTATGTCAGTTCAAAGAGATCAACCGAGCCCACGCCGTTTTGAGTGATCCAACGAAGCGTCGAATCTACGATCAGTATGGTTCTTTCGGTATTTATCTTGCCGAACAAGTGGATGAGGATACGATGCGAGCCTACTTTGCCCTTCAAAATCCATGTCTGAAGGTAAGTAACTATTCTCTTTCAGAGACTGTTAGATGAGTCGTGGAAAGCTTCGTGCACCTATAAAAAGAGGTTTTGGTGTCACAATAATACAATCTTAAATGAAAATATTGGAAAGGAATAGGCAAGTTTCTCGGGGGCGAGTAAATGTGTGGACAATACCTGTTCCATAAGTTTATATACCACCTGGTAGATGGTTGAATTGTAATCACTTACTTGATGTCAGCATTCTTTTCGAGTGATCCCTGTGTAGGGAGTGCTTAACGTTTGACGAAACTTCCATAAGACCTTTAATGTGTTTAATGAATTAAAGTGTTTGTATACGAAGGAACCAACCAGCAGGTCTCTGGTTAGCCCACAACATCTATAGAATCTCCCAGCTACTCACACTGCTAATCAGCCTATTCTAGCCGGACGGTTGTGTTCAAACTACTAGGCGGTTCGAAAAACCCTGGAGTTCCGTGAGATACACGGATCCCTAATTAGGATGAAACAGCTATACAATGCTTCTCGGAACCCTGGAGGTGAGATACACGGATCCCTAATTAGGATGAAACAGCTATACAATGCTTCTCGGCTTTTCAACGCACATTGCTTTTCACTTACTTACCAAAATCTCAGTTGAAAATTCCCAATTCTTACAGTCAACTTTTTTAAATAGCGCATATTCAGCCTGTTCGGTCAAGGATAGGTTGTGGCACGGAGAAATACCTACGTATTTAATTGATGCCATTTGAAAGCGAACTGATCGATAAAAATGACTGAACACTTTGGTGCAGGATGTCATAATGCTTGTCCATCATAAGTCAAAAGGCTACATCGAGATACTGGTATTTTCAAATTAAGGAAGCAATGCCTTAGCTCAACTACGCCATTTTGAGGGAGAATTGACTTCACATGATGTGTGATTTAACAATCAACGGCAACATCGTCTGCGTACTTGCAGCCGATAAGAGAGTCAGCTACCGGAAGCTTTCTTATAGGTAAGCAAAAGGAGAACGGTGACCTAATCACACCCAAAAGGTGGTAGGAATAGGGTATTTCTGGCCATTGTAAGATTTCCTGTAAAAATCATTTAGCTGTAGCACACTTTTGGTGCCTAGCTGCCATACCATTTGAAGGTAGCATGGGGACTGGGATACTCCCAGGTTGCCAGAGCCTAGATAAGGGAAGTTAAGAGACAAAGGTCGGTTGGGCATTCCGATCAGTAAATTCGCGCTTTAACCATTGAATTATCTCTCCCCAACGTTTTTCCTGACTTCTCAGATAATGGCTTTTTATCTCAACATATTGCTTCCATTAAGTGTACCGATTTCCTGCACTGGTTATACCTTCAACGATGTTTGTAAATTTGTATTCATGCAAATGAAATCAGCTGTTTCTTGCTTGGGGCTCTGTTGCACGTTATCGTGCTGAGTACCCTGCAGAAATGTTACTATCTACCCACAGCTCGCTGCATTACACACTACAGCGCTTGTGCCCATGAACTATGACATCCTAGTTCTCCTGGCTCATGCTTGCTGTTTATTTGCTCATTTGACCAAATCCATAGTTGCTATTCGGTAACTTGTGTATCAATGGGAGTTACTCTTTTTACAATTGCTTCAAAAAATGACTTGGCAGCGAAGTATAAAAGCTATAACCAGTAAACCCAGCTGCGCTGATCGTTGCTATCTTCCTGGATGGGGACCCCGAGGCGGGCCACATCAATGGTTAGAAACATTGTCAGATATGGCTTACTCGCGCTCTCAATGGCGCTCGTGCATCCAAGCTGTTGCCTTCAATTCATATCCCCTTCCCAACCCCCAACTTGACAGTCCAGTGACAGTGCTATATTTACGCACCAATCAGCCCCCGCCTCTAATGTGCAGCTACCTACCCCACCTCCCCAAATCAGCGGTGAACCAAACTGACAGCTACAACCACTGTACGGCAAGTACGCGGTTATTACAGCTGACAATGATGATGATGCCAACCAGCAGGTCTCTGGTTAGCCCACAACATCTATAGAATCTCCCAGCTACTCACACTGCTAATCAGCCTATTCTAGCCGGACGGTTGTGTTCAAACTACTAGGCGGTTCGAAAAACCCTGGAGTTCCGTGAGATACACGGATCCCTAATTAGGATGAAACAGCTATACAATGCTTCTCGGCTTTTCAACGCACATTGCTTTTCACTTACAGGACAAAATCTCAGTTGAAAATTCCCAATTCTTACAGTCAACTTTTTTAAATAGCGCATATTCAGCCTGTTCGGTCAAGGATAGGTTGTGGCACGGAGAAATACCTACGTATTTAATTGATGCCATTTGAAAGCGAACTGATCGATAAAAATGACTGAACACTTTGGTGCAGGATGTCATAATGCTTGTCCATCATAAGTCAAAAGGCTACATCGAGATACTGGTATTTTCAAATTAAGGAAGCAATGCCTTAGCTCAACTACGCCATTTTGAGGGAGAATTGACTTCACATGATGTGTGATTTAACAATCAACGGCAACATCGTCTGCGTACTTGCAGCCGATAAGAGAGTCAGCTACCGGAAGCTTTCTTATAGGTAAGCAAAAGGAGAACGGTGACCTAATCACACCCAAAAGGTGGTAGGAATAGGGTATTTCTGGCCATTGTAAGATTTCCTGTAAAAATCATTTAGCTGTAGCACACTTTTGGTGCCTAGCTGCCATACCATTTGAAGGTAGCATGGGGACTGGGATACTCCCAGGTTGCCAGAGCCTAGATAAGGGAAGTTAAGAGACAAAGGTCGGTTGGGCATTCCGATCAGTAAATTCGCGCTTTAACCATTGAATTATCTCTCCCCAACGTTTTTCCTGACTTCTCAGATAATGGCTTTTTATCTCAACATATTGCTTCCATTAAGTGTACCGATTTCCTGCACTGGTTATACCTTCAACGATGTTTGTAAATTTGTATTCATGCAAATGAAATCAGCTGTTTCTTGCTTGGGGCTCTGTTGCACGTTATCGTGCTGAGTACCCTGCAGAAATGTTACTATCTACCCACAGCTCGCTGCATTACACACTACAGCGCTTGTGCCCATGAACTATGACATCCTAGTTCTCCTGGCTCATGCTTGCTGTTTATTTGCTCATTTGACCAAATCCATAGTTGCTATTCGGTAACTTGTGTATCAATGGGAGTTACTCTTTTTACAATTGCTTCAAAAAATGACTTGGCAGCGAAGTATAAAAGCTATAACCAGTAAACCCAGCTGCGCTGATCGTTGCTATCTTCCTGGATGGGGACCCCGAGGCGGGCCACATCAATGGTTAGAAACATTGTCAGATATGGCTTACTCGCGCTCTCAATGGCGCTCGTGCATCCAAGCTGTTGCCTTCAATTCATATCCCCTTCCCAACCCCCAACTTGACAGTCCAGTGACAGTGCTATATTTACGCACCAATCAGCCCCCGCCTCTAATGTGCAGCTACCTACCCCACCTCCCCAAATCAGCGGTGAACCAAACTGACAGCTACAACCACTGTACGGCAAGTACGCGGTTATTACAGCTGACAATGATGATGATGAATTGCTTCAGCAGTGTTATCCGTCCCCTAATAAAGTTTTACTAGACTAAAACGATGATAAGCCTCTGACCTCACGTATGTTATCCCATTCTTGATGTGTGCCTTAAAGCATGAACGACAGGCTTCCTTTAGCGGCTGTGCAGTCAGTTCACTCAGGTGACGAATGGTTGGTGTGTAAATGACTGAATCTAGGTTGACCTCTCGTTTCATGATCGTATCCTTCATCTGAATGGGCTGCACGAGGCCACCGTTTTATAAAACGAGAGGTTCATCTGGATTCAGTTGAGCCTCCCGTCAAAATCAAATTCGTATACATATGAGAGTATCTGGCGGACTCCATCCAATTGCGGTTCAAGTGAAACGGTTGATGGAAATTCGGGAGTAGAGCCTACCTGATGGGCCCCAAGAAGGGCGGAATCGATCGTCAGTTGTCGGATAGTTCGCAGCAACCTTGTGATTAGCGTATTACCTCTATACAACGTCAAAACCTACTTTTGAGAAACAGTCTGTGGGGCGGTAACCAGATGAGATAGTGACGAACCAGGTATATACGGACAAGTTGACTCCTAGCTCACGTGACACTTGGCTATCCCGTTCTGATGCAACATATTATATAGTCAGCCGTTCTCTGAGCCAGTCTCACCTCGGATTGGAACTGGATGGGTTGACCCTTGGCCAGTTCGATTGCTACTTAGCTGAAAGCTACGAATCACCGGATCAAGGGGGCTTGTGTATCTGCTGTGCTCTGGCAAGCACTTAGCGGTTCACAGAAGTGCAGAACCGTGTACCCGACACACCAGCTTTGTGAACAGGTGTGAAACGCAACAGCCATTACGCGATGAGGTGACAATCAATATACGGGCGCCCCACATGCATCTGTTGTTATGTGAATGCCAATCTTCTCTGAAAAATCTTTTGATGCATACAATTACAACTAGCGCAAAAGAGCCAGGCCCAACCAGGTAAACTTCTAGCCTACTGTTTGGCTGCTTAGCTACTCCAACTACCTATTATGGTGCGCAAATAAAAGAATATCATACGAAGAAGATTCCGTCTGGATTCAATGAACAGGTATTTCATTCGCAGCTCAACAGTTGCCCATGACTGAACAGTCATATAAATTGTTTAACTAATGGGCGGAAGGTCGCGAGTTGGAAACTCTCTGGGTTTCACGAGACGCGCACCGCTGACGATTCTCAACAAGGATGAAACAACTGTACAGCGCTTCCCGGTTTTTCGGCATAGACTGGCTTCCCTGACATTATGAAACCTCTGCTGAAAATTACTAAACCTCACATCATCAGTGATGTAAAGCTTCTCAAGGTCATATCACCTGTGGTGTTTGATTTCCCTGCCAGATTATTTAGTGCAACAAAAGCAGAGTATGTAACATCACTCATGTGGGCCGGTAAAGTGCATGTCGAGCGTGCCGTCACGATGATAGAAGTTACAGAT